GCCCTGCCCGGGGGCAGCGCGGGCATGGCGCGCGAAGGGTTAAGGGCTGGGCTGGGCTCGCATGGCCGCTTCGCAGCGCTTTAATCTTTATTAATATAGCTGTCGCCCCCCCTCCCCGGCAGCCCGACAGCGCTGCCTCGCGGGCTCCTCCGCTTAAGTGATTGGATTTCCCCGTCACCGGTATTTAAATTTACTTGCTGCTGGGATCCGCCGCCCCGCGCCCCGCTTGGGTTTCTGATTAAAAATTGATGGGAGCCATTTAGCCGATGTTAATGGGCTTAATGCAGCTCCCCTTCCATTAGGGACTTCGCTGGCGGGGCTGCTCCGCCGCGGCTGAGGGAGCTGCTCCCGCCTCTCGCCTCGCCTTGGGGCCCGGCCCGGGCCCTCCTTCCAGGGGGCTTCCCGCCCCTCACCGTCAGGTATTTATAGCCAGATCAATGCACCCTGCCAGGAATTTGTCAGATCTCAAACATGGACCTGACAGGAAATTGGAAGGAGCATGAGCTTCCCGCCGCCGGCCCAGAGCTCAAGCGCAGAAAAGAGTTTGGCTTTTCTTTTTCTTTTTCTTTTCTTTTCTTTTTTTTTTCAGACTCAGATTAGCGCCACCGCCCAGTAAGTGGCAGTGCCCATTGCTGCCAAGGGCATCGCTGCTAAGGGAATCAGGAGTGATGTGGCAGCCGTGATGGTCCCAAAATGATGCGAGAGGCAAGGATTTCTTCGGGTGAGATCTTTTCTTGGACCCACTGTGAGGCGGGGATCAAGTTAGGCAAGCTTTCAAATGTAAGACAGTTTTCCTCAGGTCTCAGGTCCTCCTTAGGGAGACCTGAGGAAGATTGTCTGAGGTTCACAGGTTTGTCTAACTTGATCCCAGCTACATAGTAGGTCCAACAAAAGATCTCACCCTAAGAAATCCTTGCTTCAAGGGCAGGTGAATGCAAGTATCAAGTTATCCTCATTTAACGTTTGTCAGGAGGGAGCTGGTGTTTAGTGGTGCTTGACGCCCACAGCTTCCCTTGCCTCAGGGTAATACCGCGGGTACTCAGCACCTCTGATGAATGATGGTCCTGCCCTCGGGGCTTGTCTACACTAGAAAACCTCCTGGTGTCAACAACACCAACACAACCACACAGCACTGACAAAGCCACCTCTGTCTTAATTCCATGCTAGACCTAGGGTAGACCATGGCCAGCTGGCCAAATGTTTAACATGAATTCCCCTGTCTACACTGATTGCTTCGGGTTATGCTACATGTGATCCAACAAGGCGACAGTTTCTAGGGGAGTTGAACCCAAATTGGGAGAGGAAAACCCAGGCTGAACAAAGCCCACAGCCCCAAACAAAGTGGAGTGGCATTGGCATAGAAGTGCTCTAGTTGCCCCAACCCCTGGGCTTAATTGGAGCTTTAGCCTGTTACTACATTCTCCTTCTGGACTTTCCACCAGTCTAAGCAAAATGGAATAAAACACTGGGTCCCAGTACAGCTATGAGCCACAGACAGGATGGCACTCAAAGCAGAAATAGAGACCAATTTACAGGACAGAAGTGGCTGCCCATCCTGAGCCAGTGAGCAGTGTGTTTGAATCTTCCTTTTTTTAAAGAAAAGCCTCAGTCCAAAGTAGTATCCTATTTCCAGCTTAGGGTCTGCTTCTGCTCCCAGGGATGTCACTGGCAAGCCCTTGCTTGGAGAAGGACTAGACAGCCAAGAAGAGAAGAAAAATGTTCTTTTCAGTTGAAGGGTGAGAGGTATCCAGATGTGGTATAACTGAGGAGAAGTGTGAGAGAGAGAGATAGAGATAATGTTTAATTGATGCCTATGTGCATAAAAGTATAAGAAGCTCAAAAAAAAAAAAGCCAGAAATATAATTAACAGTAAATTAGCCAATAATTAACTATACTTTTCAAATGTATTTTTGTATAGTACAACCTCATTATAATGAACCCCCGTGAGACCGGGAGAAAACTTAATTAAAAGAGGGTATCTGCTATAATAGGGTCAGTCAATTTGCTGCATCATAATGAAAAAAATTGGTTCCTGCTATGCTATGCTGTTGGAACTGTTCAAATGGTGGGGGAAGGGGAAAAGGCTAGCAGAGGAAGGAGGCTGCTTTAAGCAGGGCTTGTTATAATAAGGCTGTCCTGAATTTGTAGTTTAATGATATTTAACATAAAAATTGTGCTCCTTAAAACATTCGTGGCTATATGTTGTCCCCTTTCCCCTCAGACAAATTTATTCTGTATGTTGTTACTTGGTGTCAAACATTCTCTGCAACATTTTGAACTGTAAGTTTCATATCTGCATCTCTCCTTGAGAGTGCACTGCCATTCATCTGTAGCATATTTAGGCATGCCTTAGCCTTTGCCTGATCCTGAACTCCTTGTTTGGGCAAAACTCTCTTTGAAGTTTGTCAAAGTTTTGCCTGAATACTAAGGAGTTGAGGATTGGGTTCTAAGTCAGATAGGAATGGAATGGCTGCTATCTGCAAGATAAGCTGCTGTTTCTAGCAGCTTGCTGGGGGAGTTTTGAGTGTGGTTCTGCATAGATGAAAAGGATGGAAGGATGGGAAAACATTGTGTATGCTTCTAGATAAAGTATGGCATTCTGATAGAATATCAGGTCCCTTTGCACATGTATAAATAGAAATAAAAGTAGCATTTCATCCTCTATCACTGAAATAAAGTAGAATTCATTTTTAAATCTTTCCTGCCATTTAACCTTGCACAGTATGGAGGTACTGCTGCTCAGTCCTTTTGCTGAAGCCTGTGGATTTTTTGTTGTTGACTTCAGTCCCTGCAGGGTTGGGGCCCTGATTCCAGAAAATTTCCCTGTTTGGTTAAGCAATTAAGATTGCTTTTAACTTTAAAGCAGAGCAAGCTTAGCCTGAATTTATAAATAGGCCTAAGCTAATTTTTCTTTTGGTACTGGTGGACATGAACTTTTGCTTAAGGGCTCTTCTGAACTAGGGCATGGTCCTTACATTCCAGTCTCTGATGTACTTTTGTGGTACATTCACCTTCTCTTCCTTGTAGTTGCATTTAAAATTTTTAAGTACTTTGGAAATCCATTGTAAGTAAAGATCCGTGGCTGACTGTTGTCTGGGTCAGTATCATGTCTCTAATAGTGGCTGATGCTAGTAGTCGAGTAGAAGTAAAATAAAAGAAATCCATAATGCTCTTTCCCAGTTCATTAAATGGGCATATGAATTTTTCTTGGTCTAAGCTGGTTATCAGTTTATCCCCTGGAGCATGAGAAGTGAAAGTTCTTGTAATTTTTCTTTTTGTTATAGTAATTGTACATATGGTGAAGGATGTGGGGCTGACCTGTAATAATTCATGAATACTGCATGGGGCCTGGTTGTCAGGATAGTTACTTGTCTGACTTTATTGGAATGTTTACAAAATGCACTGTCTGGTTATTTTACTGGCAGAGCTGTTGAGAAGCAGCAACATAAGCAATGCAATGGCTCCACATGAGCAACCGCCAGTGAAACACTTCGGGGGTCATTAAGAAATAATCCCTGAGCTACTAAATTGTGAAGGTGCCAGCTAAATTATAATCTTATTTTGCCTGTGCTGAGAGTTTAAAGATCAAAAGATTTTAAACAGTTAAAAAGAGACTGTTTGAAAACAGGAGGAGACTTCTCAGGGACCTGTTTCAAAGGTGTGTCAAGGGGCCAAACAGACTGGAACAGAGGCAGAATCTGCTGAAAGGTCTAAAGCAGAGTTTTTGACTCAAGGTACTGCTCCTTAGACTCAAATACTCTTCAGAAAATACTAGTTCTTAGTTTTCACTTTTTTTAGACTATAGAAAAATAATAGAGCAATTCTTCTGTGGCAAAGAACTCAAAAAGACCACAACAGGTCAGAATATTTGTGACACATGAACTCCTATTTGAAATCTGTTTTTATCTTGTGAATCTGCTTGTATAACCAGCAGTGTTAATGTTGCATGGTACCCTGCAGCACTATTGTAAGGTTCTCAAGGCACCCCAGGGTATCACAGCACCCTAGTTGAGAATCACTGGTCTGAAGCAATTGAACCTGCCTAAATATTGACAGGATGCTAAGCCTTTAAGTAAGACAGAGAAAAGTGTAGACTGTTTTTATTGCTTTAAAAACTTTTTCTTTACATTATCTTTTGTTCCTACTGCCAAAATTGCTTTTGAGTCAGCTATTTGGTCATCTGTACTAACCCAAAGGTCAGTTTTTCAGTTGCTCAGCCCAGACAGACATGCTGGCTATGCATGATTGGACCACATGATTCTGCAGCCTGAGACCTGGCTTAGAGAGGGAGAATCATGGAATCCCACCCTAAAAAATGTAAGGGCACAAGGTCTGTGTACTTAGAAAAATTAGGAGTGTACTTAGAAAACTGAAAAGGGTCCAAAATGTGCCTGTAATTATGACTTATGCTATCCTTATTCATGGGTGTTTAACCCTCTAAAAATCTTGCTAAA